ACCTTTCTCCACACGATGAACTGGAAGACGGAGGTTGAAATGCGTCTAGAGTCTAAACCCCCCTCTCGTCTCGGCTAATGACGCATTTCGGTTTCGCAGACGTCTTTCAGGCGACCCGGCACGGTCGAAAAATGACTGATATGAATCGAAATTCCGGTTGATGCCTTTTCCTCTTGAAAAAAAATTAATTTAAATGCTAAAATTGACCGAAGTGACTCGATCATTTCGATTTACCGATTTCTCTGAGTGTGAACTTGAGTGAAGACTCGGACCCAATGTATGTGGGTCAAGTATAAATTTTGTGACCTTGAAGCATTTTCTGACGCTGGAGGAAACTCTTCTTCCTGCTGTTACCACGGAAACAAGGACCCTTCGCGAGCCCGCACAAATCCCAGATTCACATCCGAAACTTACCGGTTCACGAAGAAGCACTGCGGTCATTTGGGTGCCTGAAAATCTTATTTGAATTCAGTTTTTCGAACTTACTGGTTCCATCTGTTCGAATCCCGTCTTATTTTCTTTACCTTAATTCAAGTAGAAAGAACCGTGAGAACATGACTCATAAGAACTACCAGGAACCATGGAATGCTCTCGATTCTTAGGTGTTTGAAAAATAAAAAGCATGAGCACCATTTCCACCCTCTTGCGCAGTGATTCGCGATTGCGACAAGTCAAACTTGGACAGTGGCACTTTCCTTTTTTTTTGTGCCGAAAGCTCTGATGGCGGTCATTTCCTTTCAGAATCAAGTTGTGTTTTTAACTTTCGCATTTCAGAATGCCATCGGGAATGCATAGATAGTGTAACAAAAGTATTTCGAAAGGCATTCTGACCGAGTAAAAAGAAAAATGTGGACTTAGCCCGCAGTAATTCATCTACTGATGTATCCTACAGTAAATAAGAGGAAGAGACACCCCAGCAAACAAACGAACATTCAATCAGCGTTGAATGAACGTTAATTTTGAACCTTCCCACCGTTGTGGCGGCGTTGCATCTAACATTAAGTCAACGTTAAACATTGGGTCAACATTGCAATGTAACTTATTGGAACGCTCACTACCACCCTAGTAGCACCCCAATATTGGATCAATTATGACGGCTAAGGCATATATAGATTATTCAGAGTGAAAATGCAATTTAAGAACCCAGCAAACAATTTGAAACACATAACGTCGAATCTATGTTGAATCAACATTAAATAAACGTTCGGAACATCGGACCGGAATACTATTCCCCCCCCCCCTTCCCCTAGGCCACCATGACCTAGGCCCCTATGCAAAAAAGCTGAAGCAATTCAAAGAGAAGAATACATGCTTGCTTCACTGCCCTGCTTGTCCTCCTTCCCCAGGTGTGCTAGAGGTCAGCGTCGTAAAGAAGTCTTTTTTAATAGTAAAACTGCTTAAATCTCAAGTACAAATGTCGACGACTATGCTTAAGTACTGTATGGAATACATATTGACTTCTACGAGCCGGGAAAATAAAAGGATAGTGATGATTGAGGAGAGTCATCCTGTCTGACGACAGGCGATTTTGATGGAAACTTGTTTTACTATCCCAGGAGTGACTTAGTGAAGTTTAAATGACTGAGGGCCTGCATAGCGCTATTTAGCATAGAAACACTGAAACATCGGTGCAAATGTTAGCGTTAACTTTCCGGTTTAAAACAATGAAATTGAAGGATGACATTTACATAAAAATTGAGATATCCTATGTGTAAAATAGAAAAAGACAGTACTGCTCTGACTTGTGTTTAACACATTCGTTACCAGCCTCTAAAGCTCCAGTTTGTCAAGCATTTTTAAAGCTTTTTTTAATACTAAATTTGCAGAGCCTGAAACCTGAAAGGATGGCACGATACCGTCCACCTGTTGCCCCGAACAAGATCGAATTAGCTCGTTATAGGCAAATATTAAGTGCTTCTTTTTTTTTTACGGCTTTTGCCGTGAACGGCTGTGAATGTGTTAAATAGGAGCTGGTCGCATTATCATTTCATGAACTCAGCTGTTTTCAAAATAGTACAGTTGCTGCTGCAAGGAGCGCGCGAAAGCATGCCCAGAATTCAAATTGATGCATTTACTCGATAAATAAATAAATATGATCAGGAATTTTGCACAATTATGTTGAGAAACAGGATCAAGTTCATCATGGTACTATGAGGATACTCGAAGTACTCGAATACAGGGAAGTAGCGTGTGCACACAGAAATTTCAGGACATCAAATTAAGCATTTTGGGTATCGAAAAAATCTGTCCTCCGTGTGATGCGTCTTTATCGCATCAAATTTTCGATGCGATTAAAACGCATCACATGAAGGACAGATTTTTTCAAGACCCAAAATGCATCAATTTCATTCTGTGTGCATGTGTCCTACATGTGATGCACTTCGGCCTCATTCTCTATACTATACACATTATCCGCTGCCCCCAGGGGGGTAGGGGGGGTAGGAATCCAATTCAAAGACGATGGGATTTCGCTCGTCAGAACAGATCTCTAGGTCACCAACAGAAAGGGCACAAGTTTTGATCCATACACTTTCCTTGACTGTCATCTCCGAAATCCCCCAGTTACGGCGGCTCGATGTAGAAAATGATGCGTGTACTGAAATCTGCTATTTAAAAATATATTCATCTGATCTCTCACACTTCTAAGGAAAGAAAAATTTTCTTTCATTCGAGTGACTGTTCAAGGACCATGGAGAAGACTCAAAATTTTTGTTCATCAAAGTGCTCAAAGAAAAAATATGCAAGGGCGGATATCTAAGGGGAGGGTATTGGGGAGGTGATTAAGATTGAGAGAAGGCGCGGAAGCACCTATTGATTCAAGGAGATGAGCTACGAATGCTCTATGTCAGACGAACCTATTGTGGAAATATATGATGCTTTTAAGCTTGGAAGCTTAGTCTACGGGCGATACATATTGCACCACCAATACATGAAACCAAATACTAACGCAATATGGAACTGGACGAGAAAAATGGAGGAAGCGGTCACATTTGAATCTCTTCGAGACGCACGAGGTTACTCGCACGGCCGGATGGGAGGTGATAGGACGAAGAGGCCATGCATTCCCACGCGCTCAAGTGTGAAACCCTCAACAATGAATGCATTGCCCCGATGGTTTATGAACGGGACCTTTTTCCACACGATGAACTGGAAGACGGAGGTTGACATGCGTCTAGAGCAGTGGTTCTCAACCTGGGAGGTGTCACCCCCCCGAATGCATAAAGGTTCAATGGGAGTAAAAGGAAGGTTGAGAGCCACTGGTCTAGAGTCTAAACCCCCCTCTCGTCTCGGCTAATGACGCATTTCGGTTTCGCAGACGTCTTTCAGGCGACCCGGCACGGTCGGAAAGTGACTGATATGAATCAAAATTCCGGTTGATGCCTTTTCCTCTTGAAAAAAAAATTAATTTAAATGCTAAAATTGACCGAAGTGATTCGATCATTTCGATTTACCGATTTCTCTGAGTGTGAACTTGAGTGAAGACTCGGACCCAGTGTATGTGGGTCAAGTATACATTTTGTGACCTTGAAGCATTTTCTGACGCTGGAGGAAACTCTTCTTCCTGCTGTTACCACGGAAACAAGGACCCTTCGCGAGCCCGCACAAATCCAGATTCACATCCGAAACTTACCGGTTCACGAAGAAGCACTGCAGTCATTTGGGTGCCTGAAAATCTTATTTGAATTCAGTTTTTCGAACTTACTGGTTCCATCTGCTCGAATCCCGTCTTATTTTCTTTACCTTAATTCAAGTAGAAAGAACCGTGAGAACATGACTGATAAGAACTACCAGGAACCATGGAATGCTCTCGATTCATAGGTGTTTGAAAAATAAAAGCATGAGCACCACTTCCACCCTCTTGCGCAGTGATTCGCGATTGAGACAAGTCAAACTTGGACAGTGGCACTTTCCTTTTTTTTGGTGCCGAAAGCTCTGATGACGGTCATTTCCTTTCAAAATCAAGTTGTGTTTTGAACTTTCGCATTTCAGAATGCCATTGGGAATGCGTAGATAGTGTAACAAAAGTATTTCGAAAGGCATTCTGACTGAGTAAAAAGAAAAATGTGGACTTAGCCCGCAGTAATTCATCTACTGATGTATCCTACAGTAAATAAGAGGAAGAGACAACAAACAAACGAACATTCAATCAGCGTTGAATGAACGTTAATTTTGAACCTTCCCACCGTTGTGGCGGCGTTGCATCTAACATTAAGTCAACGTTAAACGTTGGGTCAACATTGCAATGTCACTTATTGGAACGCTCACTACCACCCTAGTAGCACCCCAATATTGGATCAATTATGACGGCTAAGGCATATATAGATTATTCAGAGTGAAAATGCAATTTAAGAACCCAGCAAACAATTTGAAACACATAACGTCGAATCTATGTTGAATCAACATTAAATAAACGTTCGGAACGTTGTTGCAACGTTGGTCCAACGTAGCCTTGTTTGCTGGGATGTCGTATCGATGGTCTTTCTCACCTTCGCACTTCCGTCAATCAGACACACTCTCACCCATCTCCATGTATTTTGCGATGTCCGGGAGAAATGCAATCGATAAATGGTTATCGTCTTTTTGGCAGCGTTCCCCCGATTTCAGAGTCAATGGAATGGCCTAATACAGCAATATATAGTATAAAAGTGAAACGCGCATGGATGAATTAGGATTCGGCGTCCATAACTGGACTGCGACGCTGCACCGACTTCGCCTACGTCGATGTGGAGACGATGTTGTTTATCATCTAGATAGTCAACGCTGGTTCAGGTCTTATGCAGATTTCCGATGGATAGGTGCCCATTTCACGTTGCCAAAATAATTCACGATATGTAACAACAACTAGACAGTATATTTGTTTGGGCACACATTAATCGTGCAGCTGAAAATATCAGAAACGGACAAGAGAGACAATTGAAATAATGCACCTCACGAATATTCCACGTGTGAAAAGGAAGAATATACAAGGTAAGATGAAGGTCCAGGAAATGGAATTGAACTCACCATCCGACATACCAGGGCACAAAGCCGGGAGTCATGTTGGCTCTGCTAGAATCCATGTCAAAGACCTCATCGAGGCTTCTGAATTCGGTCTGGTAGGGAAAGAACTGACAGTTGAAAACGGAATGCCTCCGCCCCTCATCGTAGATTCCCTTGAAGAAGGTGAAGTTAAACACCTCCATAGCCGACCAATCCCTCATCCCGTCTTCCACTATCACCGGCTTCCCCGTGTACGCATAACTATATGAGTTCCGAGGGAGAAACAAAAAATCTCTCTTCTGATCTCTGCATAAATTCCCCTGAGACTCGAGAATGAAGATGCTAACGTTGTCTGGAAGTCTTGCGGGGAAAGATGGGTGACTCGGGGGATTCCCTGGATTCCACGACAGAAGTCACAGGTCAACGGAGGTCGAAACAGATCGTAGCCCACTGACGGCAATCCTAGTGCACACTGCTCTCGCAATCAAAACATTCACTTTCATTGTTAGCTTCCATCTCGAAGACGACTTCAATGAGATCGCAAGGAGAGATATGGTGGTGCAAAATAAATCAATCCCTGGATGTCCATNACCCAGCAAACAATTTGAAACACATAACGTCGAATCTATGTTGAATCAACATTAAATAAACGTTCGGAACGTTGTTGCAACGTTGGTCCAACTTAGCCTTGTTTGCTGGGATGTCGTATCGATGGTCTTTCTCACCTTCGCACTTCCGTCAATCAGACACACTCTCACCCATCTCCATGTATTTTGCGATGTCCGGGAGAAATGCAATCGATAAATGGTTATCGTCTTTTTGGCAGCGTTCCCCCGATTTCAGAGTCAATGGAATGGCCTAATACAGCAATATATAGTATAAAAGTGAAACGCGCATGGATGAATTAGGATTCGGCGTCCATAACTGGACTGCGACGCTGTACCGACTTCGCCTACGTCGATGTGGAGACGATGTTGTTTATCATCTAGATCAGTGATGAGCAATCCGTGGCCCGCGGGCAGCATGTGGCCCGCGAGGTCCTCATGTGCGGCCCGCGGGGCTTTGCCAACTGAATTTTTTTTCCCTCTCATCTGCCACCCGGAGTAGAGCGCACGTGCGCTCAAGGATTCCGTTGTCCACTGCAGGAGATATGGATACAATAAATATAACATAAATGCTATAATTCCGCTGCAAATATCCCTTCGCTCACTTCTTGGTCAGTGTATCACTGCTCTCGGAGCAAGAGGCTTTGCTTGGTATTTTGCCCAGTAAAATGATGAGAAAATTTTCAAAATTAGTTCTTCGCATTTACTATTTTACAAAGTCGGGCTTAGGACTTAGGATTATTAGGACTGGGCTTAGGATTATTTTGGTACTCAGCAGCCATACAGCCTGTAATTCAGTATTTAAAAAATACATGCGGCCCGCAGTAAAAAAAGGTTGCTCATCACTGATCTAGATAGTCAACGCTGGCTCAGGTCTTATGCAGATTTCCGATGGATGCCCATTTCACGTTGCCCAAATAATTCACGATATGTAACAACAACTAGACAGTATATTTGTTTGGGCACACATTGATCGTGCAGCTGAATATATCAGAAACGGACAAGAGAGACAATTAAAATAATGCACCTCACGAATATTCCACGTGTGAAAAGGAAGAATATACAAGGTAAGATGAAGGTGCAGGAGATGGAATTGAACTCACCATCCGACATACCAGGGCACAAAGCCGGGAGTCATGTTGGCTCTGCTAAAATCCATGTCAAAGACCTCATCGAGGCTTCTGAATTCGGTCTGGTAGGGAAAGAACTGACAGTTGAAAACGGAATGCCTCCGCCCCTCATCGTAGATTCCCTTGAAGAAGGTGAAGTTAAACACCTCCATAGCCGACCAATCCCTCATCCCGTCTTCCACTATCACTGGCTTCCCCGTGTACGCATACCTATAGGAGTTCCGAGGGAGAAACAAAAAATCTCTCTTCTGATCTCTGCATAAATTCCCCGGAGACTCGAGAATGAAGATGCTAACGTTGTCTGGAAGTCTTGCGGGGAAAGATGGGTGACTCGGGGGATTCCCTGGATTCCACGACAGAAGTCACAGGTCAACGGAGGTCGAAACAGATCGTAGCCCACTGACGGCAATCCTAGTGCACACTGCTCTCGCAATCAAAACATTCACTTTCATTGTTAGCTTCCATCTCGAAGACGACTTCAATGAGATCGCAAGGAGAGATATGGTGGTGCAAAATAAATCAATCCCTGGATGTCCATCTTTTATTTTTTATTTTGAATTCTGACCGCAATCTAGTTCCCCGCGATCGAGAAAAAAAAGACTGAAAGAAAAGTATTAAAAAAAAAACTGGAAAGAATGGTCAGGAAATTTGATGCGTCAGTACAGTTTTATTTATTGTTCGGGAGGCCCGAATCCAAGTTTTTCTGCTGTTTCGTTTTCTTTTGCATTGTCCCGCCATTCCATCTCAAATAGAAACACAAAAAATTGCAAACTTGAAGGATTCATTGAGGAAATTATTCAAGCTAAACTTCAGCTCCTTGGGCAATGTGCTTTTTTGAAGTACTGCGATTTGAATATTGCTCGAAAGTGCCGATTTTTGATCCGGTGATAATCATTTAAAAGGTCAAAAGTTTTAAGCTCTTTCAATGCCCTTTCATTTGACATGTGTTTCATGAAGTTTGAATGAGAAGAAAGATCGAAGGTAAAAAAGATTTGACTTTTGACTTCTAATTCCGGAAAAGGTGATTTTTATTTTATCCAAAAATATTTTGCTGACATACAGTCAACCTCGGTTATAGCGCTGTGTAAAACCCAGGCATGTGCAATTTTACCTCGGCTATAGCAAGCTTGGGTATTGCGAGAACCTCTGTTATAACGAAGTCCACTCAAGATCCCACTCACGAAATTGACAACGTTGACGTCCCTGATTCGTCATTCCTTACTGGAATTTCCATCATCGGAAAAATAAGCGTAGGCGAGCCGTAACTTTTTCTTTCCTGGAATCGGCATTCCTTGTGGGTGTGAAAGGAGGAGGGTGAGGGAGGGATAATTCCCAGTAACTAAAAAGATCATCTTATCTTCAGTCGCCATTTGCATTCCTCGTTGACGACATGGCCAGTGAAAAGCGGAAGAGGCAAGCCTTCACGATTGAAAGAAAGTGGGCGAAGTAAAGTTAACGTCGCTCGTGAATATGAACATCTGTTCATCTGTTTCCACGATTTGGGAAAATTTGACAGCTTCATCCGTGCCTATGAGCAGAACATGTCACAAAACAAGAAACTTCGTAGATCTGTCGAGATGACGTCGACGAGACCTTGCTAAAGTAGTTCAAGGTCCAAAGAAGTACGAACATCACGATTATTGGGATAATGCTGAAGATGAAGATGACGTGAAGTGCGTCATGACCGATGTACACTGGAGTTTTATCGTTATATAGCATCCATTTTGAAAACAGGGGAACTGGATGTCGATGAAGGCAACCTCGTTTATAACGAACTTCGATTATAACGACGATTTTTCCCTGGTCCCTTCAATGACGTTATAACTATGTTCGACTGTACTAAAATTTTCCTCTGCTCATATCTGTATAATTTTTTATTTGGGACTGCTATGGGATAAAAAGACATGAGCAACATTGTGGTAGTAACTGACAAAAAATCCTTGGCGAATGAACTACAAAACTCTAGCTGCATCCGGTTCGTGCAGAAATTTGAGGGAGGAGTCTCCCATACAAAGTTGGGAATGCTCCTCTGAGCTCCATATAAACTAACGGTTCTCAACACGTGTGCCGCGGCATCCTAGGGTGCCGCAAGAGGCTGGCCGGGGTGCCGTGGGCTTCTCACCCAAATAGGACCAGAAGACAACAATGCCTCTCGGCCGTGGATCTTCCGCTGGAAATAGTGTAAAACTGCTTCCGTGTAATTGAAATTGATTATTGACTGATGCCTATCGCCATTCGAAACCCTCTGCTGTTGAAGAGTCACGTGAACCTGTGAGGTGCCAAATCGCGCGTATCAATCTTGTGCCTTTTCCAATCGTACGCATAGCATAGGCTTGATTTCATGAAGCCTTCGGATCGACTGGAATTTTTCACGAAAATAGTACGTGCTTCTTGCCCTCCTTTCCGCTATTGGTCAGTTGTACTGTGTTTCACGGTCTTGAAGTTATATAGGGTAAGGTGCGGTAAAATGAGACAGAAATTTTTTCAACAGACTTCCGGTCGCACTTTCTTTCCTGCTCAAATGAGCAGCATATTGCGTTCACATATATTTAGCCAGCAGCCGGGAAGGCAAGAGACATCTAGGAGCGTTATAGAACAATCACCAATCCGACACCCCTTGGAGGTATCACTCTCAACAGAAATGGTTTGTGTTTCATCCTTCTGAGGATTTATACCTAAAAAAAAAAGGATTTACGCAGCATAAAACCTATGGTGAAGGATTCTTACACGTTATGAATCCCTCACCTTGTAAAAATCACCTTGTTTGGAAGTTTTACATGAATCCCAAAGGGTTCGTCAAAAAACCCTCATGATTGAATTGGTTTTTCCTGTCACCCCTTCTGGATATATCAAATATATTTAACGTCTTAACGGGCGTTTAACTTCTATCCTCCAAAAGAGGATAAATGCGCCACTTGGGCTGATTCTTATGAAATCTTTCTGTAGAAGATATACAGTGGAGTGCAAAAAAAATTGCCGTCAGATTTTGGTGGATTTCTGCTGCTAGAAGCGATGAATTTCGAAGCAACTTTTTTCAGATTCCCTATACTATATCCTATATACATACAGTGGTCAATATTTGATTCGCTCTCCCTCTGAATCAATAAGAGCCAAACATCTCTCTTTCATCGATGCAATCAAATGACTTATGTTCGACGTGTGAATTTGTTGCCATTCTTCATGCAAGAATCGGTCCAATTCGTCGAGATTTTTCTGCCTCCGTTACTCCACGCGTCGCTTAACCTTTTGACTGCTGGGTTTTTATGGGCCTGTAATACCCCCTGTGCTGGGTTTTCCCCCCAAAAATGCAAATTTCAGTTGTTCTTGATATTTACTTAAATGTGGAGCCATAATGAGTGA